TCATCCGGCGCACCGACCCTGTGGGGATGCCACGCCTGCAGCGTCCTCACAACCGTCGCTGTGAAATGACTTGTCTCCATCAGATAGCTCCGGCAACTCGCTTAAGAACTCCTCAGAGCCACCAGCAAGCGCGCTGCCTGTCAGACCAGCTCCGATATTCCTGAAGCTCGCATGGAATAACTCGAAGAGTCTGGCCTGCTTGCTGCCAGGCTCGCACATGTCGCCAAGCGACGCGGTGTCTTCTGGTCGTGGAGGGGGCTTACCCTCAAGGGCCCACAAATCGAGCCCACCACCCTGACAAGACAGAACGGACATGGGGGCAGTGACGAGGGATGGGCCGGCCTCTCCCAGCGCAGGGCGATCCGTTGGGGCGGGGAGGGAGCGAGTGCTTCTGGAGTTCCGAGGAGGTGCCCGCTGGAACAGACCCCCCTAGATCCTCTAATCGTGGTCCTCGTCTTTCTCGTCCTCATGCTCCGCTAACTCCTCCTCCCCTCTTCAATCCTGCTCACCCCCTGATTCCAGTGTCTTGAAACGGTCGACGACCTGACGTGGGAGACTGAGAGCTCCTCTGTGGATTGCGCCTTGGGCCCCTGGGAGGGAGGAGTAGGAGGAGGAGGAGGAGGTGGAACAGGAGGAGGAGGTGGAGGAGCAGGAGAAGGAGGTCGAGGAGGAGGAGGAGGAGGAGGAGGCGGAGGCAGTCATCATACAATCGAGTCGAGCCGAATGATGGCTCTATTCGATCCTGCGGGCCCTCAAACAAACGGCTATAAGGGATCCTCTGGGGCCCTCCAAGACGACCCCAAATCCCGAACGACTGCGTGTCCTGTTACTGCGGCACGGCTGAAGGGGGCCTCGCCCTCGCTAATCCCGAGTGGGGAGTGTGGCGGTGCCCTGGGAACCTTCAGAAGACCCTCGATCAAGGTGACCGTCTCGCCCTTCCCCACCGCGCGCTTGACGCCGATGCTCGAATCCCCCGGGAGGAACTCGGTCAGCACCTTGCACGCGCACAGGGAGTGCGAGTCCTGGGGCACAACGTTCTCGACCAGCTTCTTGACCAGGGAGTGCTGGTTGTAAACGTTGAACTCCTGGGAGGAGTTCAGCGTCAAGGACACGTCGCCGTCGACAGTCCGCGCGCCTGTGGCCCAGGCGGGGTCAGGGATACGGGACACAGGGAGTACTATGCTGCCCCCTCCTCCTCCCCCTCCTCCCGCTCCTGCTCCTCCTCCGCGTCCTCGTCCTCCTGCTCCTCCTGGGCCAACGTGTGAACCCTGGAATTTTTGTCCGCGCACCGGAATCCGCAACCAATAACCAGTAAACGCGCTGCCCTACCCTGGAAACGCTCGGCCCAACCCTGGAAACTATCGGCTGCACCCTGGAAGCCCGTTCCATGGAAAGCTGCGACCCCGACCCCACAACCCGGCAAGCGAGGCTCGGACCTCGGCCGTAGATCGCGTCGGCGGTGGGGCAGGACTCGGTCCGCAAGGTAGCGAGCGAGAGTGCGCGTGTGTGTGTGTGTTTGTGTCTCAGTCGCGCTCTCTCTCTCGCTCTCTCTCTCTCTCTCTCTCTCTCTCGCTCTTTCTCTTCTCCCCCCCCCCTCTCTATATCCCTCTGTTCAGGGCGACCCGACCTAATTTGGAGAGCCCGCCTGTTTCTTATTGGAAGCAGCCGGGTGGGGAAATCATCAGACTGGGTCGGTCCGTCTGTCTGGATTTCTGTCTGTCTGTCTCTGTCGCTCTCTCCCTGTCTGCCTCTCTCTCTCTCTCTCGGTCTGTCTCTGTCGCCTTCTCTCGCTGTCTCTCTGTTCCTGTAAGCCTGGGTGCCCCGGCCTAGTTTGGTGTTTCCGTCTGCTTCTGATTGGAAGCATCTGGGTGCGGAACTCACCAGACTTGGTCGGTCTGTCTGTCTGAATTTCTGTCTGTCTGTCTGTCTGTTTGCCTGCCTGTCTATCTGTCTATCTGTCTGTCTGTATGTGCCCCCCCGTCCGTCGGTCGCTTTCCGTCTGTCTCTGTCAGTCTCCGTCTCCGTGGGTCGGTCTGGCTGACTGCCTGTCTGTCTGCCTGCCTGCCTGCTGCTTCCCTGTCTGGCCGCCTGCCTGTCTGACTGTCTATCTGTCGGTCTGTCTGTATGTCTGTCTGTATGTCTGTCTGTCTGTCTCGGTTCCTTTGCGTGCCTCTGTCAATCTCCCTCTCTCTCTCTCTCTCTCTCTCTCTATTCTCTCTCTCTCTCTCTCTTTTACCTCGCTGCCTCTCTCTCTCTCTCTCTCTCTCTCCTTCGGTATCTCTGGCAAGCGAGGCCCGAACCACGGCTGTAGATCGCCCCGGCGGGGGGCGGGACTCGGACAGCAAGGTAGCGCGCGAGCGTGCGTGAGCGCGGGCGTGTGCGCGTCGATGGCCTCTCGGCACGTTGCCCAACGTGCGTGTGTGTATGTGTGTGCGTGTGTGTGTGTGCGTGTGTGCGTGTGTGTTTCTGTCGCTACCTCTCTCTCTCTCAGTCTCTTCCTCTCTCTCTGTCTCTGGTTGGTGAGTCCGTTTGCTTCGTATTGGAAGTAGCCGGGCTTGGAAATTACCAGAATAGGTCGGCCTGCCTTCGGTGGGGCCCACTAAGCAGCCACGGACCGTGTGAGGGGCGATGGTGATGATGACGGCGATGATTGGCGATGATGATAACGATGATGGTGATGATGATGACGGTCGTGAAGAGTCTGGTGATGATGAGGGTGATGATGATGATGATGAGGAGGGGGAGGAGAAGACGGAGGAGATGAGGACGGAGGAGGCGGTATGCCAGCGGAGCACGCGGTTGTGGCACTGCTGCCCAGCAGGCAGCCCCTGGAGATCGGATGTCGTGATTTTGCTCAGCCCGCGGACGGTGGTAGTACCGACAACGTCCCCCTGGACTGGATGCTCGTCCTGCGTCGTGCTTCGGAAAGGGAAAAGGGAGTAAGAGGAGGAGGAGGAGGGGGGGGGAGGAGGAGGAGGAGGAGGAGGAGGAGGGCGAGGAGGAGGAGGACGAGGAGGAGGAGGAGGTCGAGGAGGAGGAGGACGAGGACAAGGAGGAGGAGGTGGAGCAGGAGGACGGGGACGAGGAGATGCTAGGAGGAGGGCGGAGGAGGAGGAGGAGGAGGGAGGAGGACTAGGAGGACGAGGAGGAGGAGGGAGGAGGAGGAGGAGGAGGAGGAGGAGGCGGAGCAGGAGGAGGAGGAGGATGGGGGGCCGTTGAGGGCCCCCAGAGGCCGAACGCTGCGGCCAGATAGGCCCTCGGTCTCCGGCTTCGAACGCACGAGCTCATAAGGTCCCCGGCTTCGGACGCCTGGATTTCCAGTTTTCGCCCGCCTGGGGTTCAAGGGGATGACACCTAAGTTGGTCACCTAAGCTCCCAGGGTTTGGGAGTTTACCCTGCTCCTTCTCCTCCCCGTGGTCGTCCTCCTCCTCCCCCTCCTCCTCATCCTCCTCTTCCTTCTGACCCCCCATCTGGCCGCCCCCCGCCCCCCGCTCTCTACCCCCCGGGGACGAGCTGAGAAAGGCGACGACGGAGGATGGAGGATGATAGAGGAGGAGGGGGAGGAGGAGGAGCAGGAGGAAGCTGAAGGAGGAGGAGGAGGAGGACGACGACGACGACGAAACACCGAGGCCTCCAAGAAATAATGCCAATCGCGGGTCACTGCCGCGACAGTGCGCCACCAGGAAGTATCCCTGCTGCGAAAGGCCAATGGGAAGTGCCACATCAACTCCAGACCCCCACGCCGCCACCCACCCCTGCACTGAGACCACAAGGCCATCTTGGACCCTGGACCCTGGAGTTGGCGGTTCCCTGGGCCCTGGAGTTGGCGGTCCGAGCCCCTGGACCCTGGACCCTGGAGTTGGCGGTTCCCATTCGGACTTCCCCTGCAACCTCATGATGAGTAGCTGCGCCACCGTCGGCAAGCCACGCGTGCACCCACGACCCGACCAACCCATTGTCCCAGACGAACTTCCAAAGTGCAATGCCAGATGTCATGATGACGTCGTGCTTGCCACTGTCGTCAAACTCGCACACCCCGAAGTGCTTCTGGAAGCAGGCGCGCTCGATCTTGACGCGAGCGCCAGCGGGGATCCTGCCCTCGTCTTTCTGAAAACACTGCTGTTGGAAAGCTTCCCTGGAACACTGCCCCCATGACTTGAAAGTGGCTTCCCGGGGGCGGCCAGTGGCAGCTGCAAACACGGACGGGTCGACAGGCAAGTCGTAGCAGGAGATGCCCCCCATCGTGGGCGTGAAACTATCGTGTTCAGCGTCTGCTTCATCGTCACGTTCCATGAGCTGCCCTTGTCTGACAAGGTACTTCTCGTTGACGCGGTTCTGGTAGGCAACCCTGACGCTCTGAGGCTCGGCCCGAAAGTCCTCAGCTGCTCGGCGTCGGGCCTCGCGGTAAGACATGCCAGTGGACCTGCGTATATCACTAACCTTCTCGTTGATGTACAACAAGACGGCGGACTGAGGCTTGGTGCACGTCCTGACCTTCTTCTTCTCGCGCTCGAACCGCATCAACTCGACGCCTAAACGTCTGCTGCTCTCCTCTGTATCAAGACGCGGGTCCTGTCCTCCAGCATCGAGGTGCAGTCCGAGACATCTAGCGAGCATCCCATTTCCATATACACGTTCGAGGATGGGGTTCGCATGCCGGATGGACGTCTTGACCTGAGCCAGGAGGCGCTCTATCTGCATGTTGCACAAGAGTGCGCTGCGGCTGAACATACGCAGCGCAACCCAGAAATCTGAATCCAGAAGCATAGCGTCGGCTGAATCCCAGAGACCTCGGAGTTTGCGACCAAGCCTAACCTCCAGGCAACAAATATTCGTATTGAACAACTTGTGGCACGCCATCTTCCGTTTACACTCGGGGCCAGCGGCGAAACGCATCACTTCGAATGCTACATCGTTGAGGGGAACAGTAAAACGCCAGTAATGTTGAGCGTACGCTGAAACAAGAACTTTCAGGGACTGCGCTTTGGCCTTCTCAAGAAGTGGGGGATCCAGATCGAAGTGGTACCACAATAAACGCAACGGGGTCTCGCTGGCATCTGACATTACCATCTTGAGAATCTCAGCCTGCGTGTGCACAATGGGGCTCATGTGAGGCGTAATGCAATCTGTCAATCCTTCACCGCGGCCGTCAAGCCACTCGATCCTTTGCCACATCCATTGCATTGGCGTTCCGCACCAGAGCGTTGCAAGAGCTTTTGGCACGAAGTCCCTGGAGTTGTTCACGTGACGGGCGCGCTGGATCTTATCTCGAAGCCATTTCCGATAATCATCTTCACTGCTCTGAGGTTGGTCGCGTTTCCGAGGAAATGCTGCCTCTAGTAACCTACCTGCAAGACCGTGGATCAGCATGCCAGGTGCTTGTTCCGACAATGACTCGTCCACCTGGCCCCATCTGTGCGTACTTGGTTCCAGGCACCCTGGAGCCAGCAAGATCCCCCCTTCGACGACTGCCGTGGAGATCGCGGCGACGGCATCAGCCTTACATGAACATCTCCGACATGCACGTTCGAAGTGGACTATCCGGCGTTGCCGGATGTCCCCGTTGAAGTAGGTCATCACCTTCTCTATCTTGCTCTGGGTCTCCGCGGCTCCCTGCGGCGGGGGCCAAGGGGGGGCCGCGCTCCCTCTCCTCCCCCACCTCCTCCTCGTCCTCCCCCTCCTCCTCCTCGCCCTCCTCGTCCGCATTCCCTCGTGCACCTGCTCCTTCGCTCCTCCCCCCCCCCCATCCCCCCCCCCCTTCTCCTCCACCCATCCTGACCGCCCACGGTTCTCCGAGTGCAGAGTGAGAAGAGGATCATGAGAAAGAGCAGGCGAGGTAGCATTGGAGAACAATACACAATTGAAGATGAATGGGGAACCTACGAAGAGAAGAAGCAGAATGGGCGCAGGGGCTTCGAGGATCCGATGAGCGGCCACGCTTTATGCCCATCCCTGGCCTCCTTCTCGTGAGCTGCTGCGCCACTGGCGTCGACACATCCACGAACGTCGCGTCCGATTGTGAACTCTAGAACTGCCCGTAAATGCGATGCCCACGCAGGGTCCGGAAGAGACACTTCATCAAATTCAAAATCCTCGGACACCACGGCCTCCACCTGGGAAAGCACTCTGTTGTGGTCGCGGGCCTGGCGATGCACAACTGAATGAGAATGTATATCTCCTGCCATGGATTCAATATCTGCGGCCCCCGCCATGACCCGCGTCTCCTGATGGACCATGCACATGTCGATGGGTAAACATAAAACGTTGGGCACACCGAGGAGCGATTGTTGAATGTACGCTAACACCTTCTGGTTGGACTTCGCCGCGTCCGGCATGGAAGACAAGAACACGTAAGGCACAGTCTTTGCAATAACAGGTACTTGATCGAATCCCAGCGCAGGGACGGCTCGATCAACTGCACTGCAGAGCGTAGAGGCGGTAGCATTTTCCAGAAACAAAGGCGGCACTGGAATATCAACCTTCTCAAGCGTACCGTCCTTAAATGCCCATGCCAGCTGCAACTGCTGAGCCAGAAGTTCCAGGGCGCCTCGGTCGGGGATGCGGCCAGGCGGGCGGCCGCCCATGATTTCGTCGAAACTCTTAAGGCGCCACTTCCCAAGATCATCCTTTTGGAAATATCGAGCGTGCGGTGCGACGATATGGGCCAATGATCCAAATTTTACTCGCCAAGGTGAAGAAAAAAAAAAAAAAAAAAAAAAAAAAAAAAAACAAAAAAAAAAAAAAAAAAAAAAAAAAAAAAAAAAGAAAAAAAAAAAAAAAAAAAAAAGAAAAAAAAAAAAGAAAAAAAAAAAAAAAAAAAAAAAAAAAAAAAAAAAAAAAAAAAAAAAAAAAAAAAAAAAAAAAAAAAAAAAAAAAAGAAAAAAAAAAAAAAAAAAAAAAAAAAAAAAAAAAAAAAAAAAAAAAAAAAAAAAAAAAAAAAAAAAAAAAAGAAAAAAAAAAAAAGAATAAAAAAAAAAAAAAAAAAAAAAAAAAAAAAAAAAAAAAACTAAAAAAAAAAGGAAAGGTGCGGCGTCGAAGGCCCTGGAAATGAAAACGCCGGAGACGCCACAGGCCTTCGCCTCCGAGAAGCGACGCGTCACAGCCTGCTGCGCGGCTGTCTGGGTAACCCGGGCCACTGCGCTGACGAGTTCTGCACTCCGCCTGGTGTGGCCCAGGGCGCTCTTCCGACCTCGGCGGACACGGGGCCCAGTGTTCCCAATCTGGCGATAGGCAGCCCCCTGGGGAAATGTTCAATCGGGGGGGCGCGGTGCTAGGGTGGGGCGACGCACTCTACAACGGCGACGGACTCGACGATGGCGACGCGACCGACAATGGCGCCGTCGCCTCGACGTCGGCGATCTAACCCGCAACGTGCCCACCCCCGCATTGGATCCTCAAGGACCCTCGTTCCGGACGAGGCCCCAGGGCCAGCGCAAACAAATCATGCCCCCCCCTTGCCTCGCGCCCCCCTCTCCCTGGCAGTGACTATCGGGCCTGCGCGAGGTCCATGTGCCACTCCCGCGGCTTCCGTCTCCGGAGGCCCCCGCCCTCGCCGACGTCGACCACGTCGCCGACCCGGAGCTGCCTGGGGGCGGCAGCGGGGGGGGGGCTCGAGCAAAGGCTCGACCAATTGGGCTGAGGCGGATTCCCTCTCTCCCTTCTCCGCGCGTTGACGATTATCTTGTAGCTCTTCCCCCTCCATTCCACGATTGGACCGAAGCGGAAAAGGATGTTTGATCCGCCTCAGCCCAATTGGTCGAGCCTTTGCGGGGGAGAGGGATAGGGAGAGAGAGAGAGAGAGAGAGAGCGAGAGAGAGAGAGAGAGAGAGAGAGAGAGGAGAGAGAGAGAGAGAGAGAGAGAGAGAGAGAGAGAGAGAGAGAGAGAGAGAGAGAGAGAGAGGAAGAGAGAGGAGAGAGAGAGAGAGAGAGAGAGAGGAGAGAGAGAGAGAGAGAGAGAGAGAGAGAGAGGAGAGAGAGAGAGAGAGAGAGAGAGAGAGAGAGAGAGAGAGAGAGAGAGAGAGAGAGAGAGAGAGAGAGAGAGAGAGAGAGAGAGAGAGAGAGAGATGGAGAGAGAGAGAGAGAGAGAGAGAGAGAGAGAGAGAGATAGAAAAAAAAAAAAAGAGAGAGAGATAACAACAACAATAAAAACACACAAAAAAAGGGAAAGAAGGAAGAGAGACGAGAAGAGGGAGAGAGAGAGAGAGAGAAGGAGAGAGAGAATGAGAGAGAGAGAGAGAGAGAGAGAGAGAGAGAGAGAGAGAGAGAGAGAGAGAGAGAGAGAGAGAGAGAGAGAGAGAGAGAGAGTGACTACTCGCAAGTGGCCTGGGTCCGCCGCGGGGGATCTACGGCAAATTACGTCGAAACAAGCATCTGTTTTTCGGATGTTTGCGAGTAGGCACTTTGCGACGGGCCCCTGGGGAGGCCCCGACCTCCTCTCCCTCGGGCGCCTGCGGTTGTGGGCGCGCCCAAGCGCCGCCGCCGCCGCTGCCGCCGCCGCCGCCGCCTTGTCGACGGTGCGGCGGACGCCCCTGCGGAAGGCGTACACCTTCTTGCGGGCCTGGCGCGCCAGGAGGAAGAGGGACGGCCAGGACGAGGAGGGGGGGGAGGAGGAGGAGGACGGGGCCGAGGAGAAGGAGGTGGAGGAGGAGGAAGAGGAGGAGGAAGAGGAGGAGGAGCAAGGTGAGGACGAGGAGGAAGAGGAGGAGGAGGAGGACGAGACGGAGGAGGACGAGGACGAGGAGGAGGAGGAGGATAGGCGAGCCTTCCCCCGGCGCCGGACGCCAGCGAGGAGGGCGAACCCTCCTTGGATGGCGGCGCCATCCACCGCCAGGTCCGGCCCGACGCCCTCGAGGCGGCCCTGCCGCCACTCGTCCAAAATGGACATCTCAGCCAAAAGGCTGCAGGCCTCCTCCTTCTCCTCTGCCCTCCCACATCCTCCTCCTCCTCGCTCCTTCTCCTCGCCCTCCTGCTCCTGCTCCTCTTTCTCCTCTTTCTCCTCCTCCTGCTCCTGCTGCTGCTCCTCCTCGTCCTCCTCCTCCTCCTCCTTCTATACAGGCTACCCGACTGCGTTTTAAACCGTGTATCCATTTCCGGAAACGAACAATCCATTTCCGGGAAACATGATCTATTTCCGGAAACTGAATAAAACATGCGTGTCGTTTCCGGCAATGGCATTCCCGGCTTTCTGGTATTTCTTGGTTGTCAATTGATGGAAGCGAATCCCTGTAACCCTAGAGGATGTGAACGTAGGAGCCCCTCAAGACATTGGGCGGAAGGGGGGGGAGGGGGGGAATCTGGCTGCGGACCTCTGCTTAGTGCGACTGTTTAAAGCAGTGCGTCCTATATCCTATATATGGGGGAGGATCCACCTGCTCGAAACAGGCGCCAAGAAGAAGCCAAGATCCACTACATGGGGGGGGGGAGGGGGAGGTGCGAGGGCCCGCGACGATCGGCAAAACAACGAACAAAAAACACGATCACACACAAGGGTTTAAGGGAGGGGGCGTGCTTTGTCTTCTGCGGGCTGCGGCCCCAGACGTGCGACGTCCCGATTTTCTCAGGACGGCGTCCCCGGAAGTCCCGAGCCTTCCCCGGGGCCGGTTTGTCACCCCGAGTCGTTTTTTGACGGCCCCGGGGCCCGGCGAAGGCCCCCCGGGGCCGAAAAGAGCGAACACCCTTGAGCCTGTTTTTTTTTAGACTCTGGCAATTTTACTTGCATGGACGGGGGGGGGCTGAGCCTGAAGCAAGCCGCAAACAACTTGCACGTTCGGGGGGCGCGGAAATCACGCAAGTCGAAAGGCACTTGCACGCTGGTATTCGCTTGAAGAGGGGCGAGGGGGGGGGGGAGGGGGGCGAACGCCATGCAAGTAAACTTGCCCGAATCCAAAAAAAACGCAGGCTCCTTCGTCCAGATGTTCGTTTACGACGCGACCATGTCCGGGGCTCTACCTGCCCCCTCTCGGCCACCAGTCCCTGATGGTCCGCTACCGAAAATTTCCGGTAGCGCTCCGCAGAGATCGGTCGCTACCGAAATACCGAAATGCAACGCCCAATACCGGTATCAGACCGTTCTGAAATCCGCTGTTTCAACGCCCTCAAACGAAGATCCGGTCGCTACCGAAATTCGGGGTGCGTCGAAATCGCTACCGAAAATTTCCCGTACCAGACCATCTGGGGTGGGCTCTACCTGCCCCCTCTCGGCCACCAGGGGGCGCTCTCCCCCTCGGAGGCGCCCGCGCGGCAGCCGCCCCCCTCGGGCCAGCACGGCACGCGGGCCTGCCCAGCGCGGTGCCGCGGGGCAGCCCCTGCCGCCCCGCCTCCGAGAGAGCGGGGCCGCCTGCCCCCTCGGCTGCGAGCCGCGCGCGGGCGGCGCGCGGCGGTGCCCCCTCGCGGAGGGGGCCCAGGGCGACGCACGGGCATCGAAAGGCGCCTCCTCCTCCTCCTCCTCCTCCTCCTCCTCCTCCTCCTCCTCCTCCTCCTCCTCCTCCTCCTCCTCGGTGACAATCCTGTAGGCCATTAGAAGCGGAAGGGGCTCCTGAAGGTCGTCGTCGAGAGCAGGCGATGCCCATCATAGGGGCACGGGGCGTGCTCCGGTCTGGTGAGGCACCCCGATGGAGCGGGGAGGGGCGGAGGAGCGGCACCAGCTGGGGCGCTGCCAGCAACGGAAACGTCAGGCGCTGGGGGAGCGTTAGAACGGGGCCTAAGGGAACACACACACACACACATACACTAATAAATCGACACGAGTTCCATCATGTCACCTATCTTTTTCCCAGCTCCCGGGGTTGTATTCTAATCGTCTCAGAATGTTGTCCAGACTTGCCCCTCCAAAAGGGGCCCAGCCCAAAAAAAATCGTGACGTGCCCAGCCTGGATTTCTTCCGGCATCTATTTTCATGATGCGTTGGGCATCCCGTCTCGCTCCAAAGAGGCACTCACTGCAAGGTGCATTCCGTGACACGGCCAGTCCGGATCACTTCACATGCAACTTTTCGAAGATACGACTGCCCCTCCCTCTCCCGTCACGAAAACTAGCATGGGGGACGCAGGTCCTGAGGGAGACGTGCCCGGGTCCTGAACCCGGGGGCCTTCCTTACGTCGGGCATGTCCTCCTAAAGGCGGATTCTGAAGGATAAATACTTGGATAATACACCAGAAATGTTCAAAAATGATGAAAAGTCGTCCCCGAACTACTGTTTTACAAGTTTTGAATATTCTTCCTGTGGAGGAACAGACCCGACTTAGGCGTGGGTTTGTGGCATTGCAAGGATAGTTGCACTTTGAATCGCAAAAACTGGCAAATATACCGACAGCTTCTCCCTGGACCTCTCCCAGGCTTTGCGTTCTGACCAGAGCTTCGAAGCGAATCCAGCGGTGGCAACAAGGGCCTTCCAGGAGGCCCAACTTAAGGCCTTCCCCCAGGACCAAGCTTCTTCGTCCTGGGCAGTTTTCTCCGATGCTCCCAAGGGGGGGGGGGGGGGGGGGGGGGCGTGGCCGGCCCCGAAAAAGCTAGAAAAAACGGCGAAACACCTCGGACCCGCTTCCCTCAGGACACGCTCCCCCCACTGATGGGCCCGTTTTCCACCACCACTACCATAGGTAGGAGATGGAGGAGGAGGAGGAGGAGGAGGAGGAGAACGAGGAGGACGAGGAGAACGAGGAGGAGGAGAACGAGGAGGAGGAGGAGGACCTCTGCATCCTCCTCTCTCCCCAGTCCTACATGTTGTAGTGGTGGTGGCAAGTTGGTCCACCACCCATGGCGAGAGATGACCCTCACCCATCCCGCCCGAGGCGCAGCGCCTCTCTTAAAGTCCTTCGCCGGTGCCTCTCCCGAGGGCTCGCCCCCCCCCCGGCCTCTCCGCGCCTCGCCCGAGGGCCTCCCCGTGCCTCCCGTCCCGCCCGAGACGCAGCGCCTCTCTTCGTGCGCCTGTGCCTCCTGCGCGCCCCCCCCCCCCGCCTCCCCGCGCCGCGCCCAAGAGGACTCCGTGCCTCCGCCCCCCCTCCCCCTCCCCCGCGAGCGCGCCCTGCCGGGCCCCCCGCGCGGCTCCTTCGACGCGAGGACCGCCCCTCGACGCGCCGTCAGCGCTCACCAGCTTAGAATTACGTCGGGCATGTCCCCCTGCAAGGGGGCTTTGGATGAAAATTTAAGCACGCCCCAACAATATTCCAAAGTATTGACAAAATGCTCAACAAATGCCCCCCAGACTACGTTTTAATTATTTTTGAATATTCCTCCTGTAGAGGGACAGGCTTTATTTAAGCCTAGAACCTGATATCTTGCACAGCTGTTGCACAGCTGCGTTCTAGAGCTCGGGACTCTTTATTGTCGTCGTCGTCGTTCGTTCGTCGTTCGTCGCTTGTCCGGCCCCGCCCCGGCCACGGAAGGCAACTCCTGGAGGCAGGAGGCGAAAGCCTCCTGCCCCCGGCAGCTCCCCGGTGCAGGAGCCAGGGCACGCGCACCACTTGTTGATCCCCGTTCCCCCAGGTCCTCCTCCTCCTCCTCCTCCTCCGCCTCCCCTCCTCCTCCCCTCCTCCCCTCCTCCTCCTCCTCCTCCTCCTCCTCCTCCTCCTCCTCCTCCTCCTCCTCCTTCCTCCTCTCCTCCTCCTCCCTCCTCCTCCTCCTCCTCCTCCTCCTCCTCCTCCTCCTCCCCCCTGAGATCCGATCCTGAAGCACAGAAGGTCACGACGGGGACCGCAGACGGGGGCCTTCCAGCCACTCCGGCCTGCCAGCGGCAGCCCCTGGCCCCTGGCCCGACGGAAGAGCAGGCCTCCGAGGGTCGCGCGCGGCCGCCGTCCCCAAGGCCGACACGCGCAAGAGGGCGACACCATCTTAGGGACGTGTCTTCGGAAACCGAGGGGGCTCTCAAAATCGGCACAGTGGCGAGGAGAGAATCAAGTCGTAGGGATGGGGATGTGGTCCAGGCTGGGAAAGATCGGGGATGGACAGAACCCCCGCGTTCCTAGATCGCTCGCCCAGGCGCTCCGGGTCCGGGCGACGTCGACTCGACGGGTCCGGGTGGCCGGCTGGTTGCGAACTGGCGGGAAGGGCCTGGGGCGCGAAGCGGGGGACAGGGCCGCGCTGGGGTATCGAGCCGAGGAGGCCGAGGTCGAGGCCGACCAAGAGGTAGGGATAGAAGGGCACCAACTATACACCAACACCGATCCTGACCAGGATCGCCCTGGGCCCAGGATCGGTGCATACGTCCTCCTGCCTGGGGCAGGAAGGCAGCTTGGGACTAGGAGTGGCCCGGCCAGGATCGGTGCAGGTGTACCGTTGCTGCCCTCAGGAGGGAGCCCACAAAAGGACGTACGCGCCACACCCACGTACACGAACACGGTCCCCCGATCCGCGAGACTGGCCGCGTAATACAAACGTTAGCGCAATGCGTACTCTTGAAGCCAGCGTGGATTCGTGTACGTGAACGTCCTTCCCGCGCTCCCGAGGAGGAGGAGGAGGAGGAGGAGGAGGAGGAGGAGGAGGAGGAGGAGGCAAGGAGCGGCGCCCGGCGCTCCTGCCCGAGCCGAGCCATCGAGCCGTGCTGGCCGGCGTCGAGGCCCAGGGCGAGGTCGACCAGGAGCGAGGCGAGGCGAGGCGAGACGAGGCGGGCCGCAGGCACCCCTGGCCCTGCAGGATCCTTCATGATCCGGCGCTCTGACGGGGCCCCGCGTGCACTGACCCCCCCGCCCCTGGAGTCCCGACCGATCGCTCGCCCCGTGCGCTCCGGCAGGAGCGGGGCGAGGCGAGGCGAGCGCGCAGGGCGGGGTCGGAAGCAGGCTGGATCTACGCCCGAATCCAGAAGGAGGGGGGAGGGAGAACCGCTCGACTCCTGCAACAGCCGAAAGTGAACTGGGACCTGGGAGTCCCTAAAAAAAGGCTGCTTTCAACGACCCCTTGAACAGAAGAACATCCTTCAAGAACATGAGACTGCACGGTTTCCCCCAGGGCCGTAGGCGACCCGAGGAGGAGGAGGAGGAGGAGGAGGAGGAGGTGGAGGAGGGGGAGGGGGAGGAGGAGGTGCAGGAGGGGTGGGAGGAGAAGGAGGAGGAGGAGGAGGAGGAGAAAGAGGAGGAGGACGAGGTGGACGAGGAGGACGAGGAGGACGAGGAGGAGGAGGACGGGTCGCCTAAGCCCTTCGGCGAAACCCTCCAAATGAGACTCTCCGCTGGCCAAAACACCCAGAACATCTGAGGGTACTCTCCCCAGGATCCTCGAGAACACCCAGCACGCACGAAGAACATTTGGGTACCCTACCCGAGCCAGCCTTGATCCAATACCTCGGTCCGCCCGTACCCAGAACGTCCCTCTGAAGACCTCTCTGCGCCAACTATGACGGATCGACGCTCGACGCTGAAACACGCTAGTCGTCGCTAAATCGACGTCGATCGACGCCAATCGATGCCGATCACGCCAAATTTGTGCTTTCTCAGCGATAAAGACATGCTAACGCACGCTGGTGCAATCTAAAGACGGCGTTACAAGGACATACACGCCTCCCATGATTTGCCTCCAAATCATGAGGAACAACGTCTTTCGAGTGCACCCCTGACGTCGCCCTGTAGACCCCGAATCCGTCGGGCCCTCTGGAGCACCTGCGTTTGGTCGGACTTGCGGAGGGCTGTGGGAACCCTCGGGGGTGAGATCAGCCAACTTCTTCGATGTGTTGCCTCTCCTGCAGTGAGTCATGATGCTCGACGCACCAAGGGAATCTAGTAAGACGGCCCGCATTCACGTTCGTAGGCATAACCGTGTGGAACATGTGGAATTCCTGTGGGGCGCGCTGACCCAAGTCAGCGCAGTTTCGGAAGGCCAGGGCTCGTCGTCATCGTGCCAGCATGGCCCATCTTGTCTTTTTCAAGGTCTCAAAACCGTTAGGTGACTGACCGCGTGATGACCTCCGAACCACATCGACCTCACCGCGCGGTCCCCCACCGCGGAGGCCCCAGTCGACCGAGACGACCTCGGAGACCGACCTGAGTCCCAAACCTTGAGCAGGGACCGACCGGCCCAGCATTCTTACAGGCCCACCAGGAAATAATTCTCTTAGGTCAGAAGAATGTTCGAGTAACAGAAGCAACGTTCCCAGACCGGAAAGTCAATGTATTAAACAAGACGGCCTCAGCCAGAAGCGCTCGATGAACACTTCGTGCAAAGCACAGACAGGCTCTCAGAATGTTCGATGCTGGGCCTATATAGGGGGAAAACAAACCTACCTCGCTTTTGACCACCCTCGCTTCCCGTACTGGTCAGGCCGCTTGACGAGGAGGCGCGTGGTATGGCTTGGTTCTGCCTGGAAGCGAAAGCGGGGCAGGTAATTCACGCTCTGACTATATAGGCAAGCAGCGACGCTGCACCGCTGTGTGAAAAAATCGGCACCCCGAAGCCCCACTGACTCAAAACACGCGGTGTGGTCGGCCCGGAGCCTCCCGTGGCCCTGGGCCGCCCTACCAGACCACCCCAGCCCAACCCGTAGACCCGAATTTCGGGTTGGGGGGGGGGTACTCCAGATTTCGTAGTAAAGGGAGGGGGGTCTCATTTCGGGGGGGTCTCTTCCAGGCTATCTTGGAGGGCCTGGGGGGGTCTGGGGACGATAATTTGGAGGGTTCTCCCACGGGGGAGGTCTGAAATGGCTTGTCTTGGAGGGTCCAGACCCCCTCCCTTTTATTACGAAATCTGGAGTACCCATCGGTCGGAAGAAGTAGGTAGAAACAGGAAGCAGGAAGGCGTTGGAAACAGATTGGGTTTCCGCCCGCCTCCTGAGGAGGAGGGAAGAGGGAAAACCACTCGACTCTTGAAGTAGGAAGGCGCTGAAAGTAGGTTGGAATCTGGGAATCCAGACATACCTACTTTCAACGACCGATGGGTACGGGCTTCGTATGTGTTATTTCCTATGTTCCCCGACCCCCCACCACTGGACATGGAGGGCACATCAGGGCATTTGGGTTGGATTGGGGTGGTCCGGTGCGCGGTGACACCCTGGGTGGACAAGCTCGAAGAAGCGCGCAGGCTCGGCGCGCACGGGGGCCGTAGTGAAGTCCGACGACATCGGGGTAGTTCCCCATCCAGTCGAACACGTTCCCGTACTCGAGGGCGGTGGAGGACGCATGGAACAGCCCGAGGTTGTGTCCTCCCGGAGCACGCAATGAAGCTGGGAACGCACGCGGATGGACTGGCATGTGGAACACGCGGAAGCCACGCGCTAGGTTTAGGTCGGGCATGTCCCCTCCAGGAGGATGTTGGGCGTTTAGGTCGGGCATCTCCCCCCTACAGGCGGATTTTGGGCAACAAACACAGTCACACATTTGTTTTAAAGAATGCACCAGCAATCGTCCCCATACTATTTTGTGTATCATAGATTTTTGTTTAAAAAAACGCAACAATACACAAACAATTATCTAAACATCGTCCCCAGACCCTTTTATTTCTTTTTCGAATATTCCTCCTGTAGAGGGACACGCCCGACGTAACGCCAGCTAGGCATGCTGAGAGGGCCAGCGTGGCTGGCCATGGAGGAGGGCCGAGAGCGCTGGAGAGAACATGTGCGGCCACGCGCGTGCATTCAGTCTTCGCCCAGGCCCGCCACGCCATGTGTATCCAGACTTCTGGTATTCCCATTGTACTCAAAGACCACATCCCAAAAATAATTTCGAGCACCCGGAAAAAGGTCGAAACAGTGTCGAAACAGTGCCGAAACAGTGCCGGACGAGTGTCTCCCAGGGCCCGACACGTCAAAACCCTCGAGTTTCGGTATTTTTTGGTGCTCGAAATTCTTTCTGCTGAGAAAGGCTAAAGTAGGCTGGAACATCAGAAGTCCAGATCCCTGGTGCGGATGATGGCGGTGCGAATGAGAAGGAGGAGGAGGAGGAAAAAGTGGATCAGGCGGGAGGGGATGAAAAGTGCAAGAGGTTGCGCGGAGCGGGCCGATCATGCATGCTCTCGGCACATACGTCCACCGCGCACTCTTTGTCCTCCTTCTCGACGCCGCCCCGCGCCGCTGCCAGGGGCTGCCCTGCAGCCTGGCCGCCCCTCGCGTTTCCCGCGGCGCCGCCGCGCGAGAGTGCCCCCCACCTCCCGCCCCTCCCTCCACGGCCGCCCTCTCCTCCCCCTCTCCCACTCGTGCATCACGCGGGGCAATGAGCAACTCCGCAATCCGCTTTTGCTCCACGAGTGGATCGCCTCTGCCGCGCCGCGACGAAAAAAATGAAGGCCCCGGAGACGGGGAAAGGCCCCCTGAGGCCAGGAATGACGAAAAACGTGCCGTCGTGATTTTCTCACAGCGCGACACCCATTGAGCAGGGACCGACCGTCCCGGCATTCCTATAGGCCTACCGCGACATGCTCTTAGAACCCAGAAATGTTCGAATAACAAAAAGAATGATCTTAGAACATAAACGCCATGTGTAAAAACAAGACAATCCCAGCCAGAAATGTTCTAAGAACACTTCGTTGGGCACGCCAGGACGCTTCGCCACTGCTTGAACCCCTCGGTCCCAGCTCGTGGACCGCCACCATGACCTTGAAGTTGTCGGAGAGCGTCTCGCAGCCGTTGCACATGGCGCCCTTCTGCCCCACGTAGGCCACGCCCTTGGTGCCCGTCGGCCTCACCTCCGCAGGGGGGCCGTCGGCACCCTGCCCCGAGCTGCGCTCCAGCCGCGGCGGAGCGGAGCGGAGGGGAGACGATAGGCCGAGCATGTTCTCAGGGCGGGGGGCTCAGGGCGAAATCCATATGGGCTCGTGCGCCTCGAAAACCAACCAGTCTTGTGATTCGCCTTTTCCAGATTCAAGCCTCGAACATCCATCGAAACGGCACTTCAGATTTCACCCTTTGCCCTCCGCCCAAAGAAAATGCTCGGATAGGGAAGGCATGGTTCAGGTTCGAAGCTTTCGTCAAGACGCCCGAAATGGATACATACGGAACAATGGGCACGATGCCCAGCAACAGAGACAGATGGCCGCTGTTGGGCACGCGGCCTTCTTCCTCAAATGGGCAACGACAGCGGCGACGCCGACAGCGAAACCCGTTCTGAATGAGCAGTGGCTGCCGCTGGACTCTGTTCCCATTGTTTCCGTACCCATGTTGGTCGTCCCGACCTCGGATTCGAGGCTCGAGGTGTTCGGACGTTTTCGCCGGCACCCAGCGGTTGTCCAACCTAGGGACGTCTTCCCGCGGCCGGGGCCGCCTCGTCGTCCCCAGCGGCCGCCCGAGACCCGAACCATGACCCGAACATCCCAAAAGGGACTGCCCTGGGGGGGGGGGGCAGCATCGACGTGGAGTCGGCGATGCATCGCCGAAAGATCGGCGATGAGTGTCCGTCCGAACGGCGGGGGTGGGGGGGTCAAAACGGTGTGACGACAGACCGCGCGGTGACGTCGGAACATCAAGAATAAGGAGGTCATATGGCGGGTTCCAGAAACCCTGGACCCGCAAATGTTCTCATCTCAGGGAGGGCAACTTTTTCCTTCCGCCAGCTCTCGCCAGCCTTCCGCCAGCGGAGCCGCCCCCATCAAACATCCGCCGCCTTCCACCGCGGGAATAGATGCCAACTCCTTCGATTCGCGAAGGAAGGCCCTCTTTGAAACGCCTCGTACGGTGAGAAAAAGGCGGGGGAGAATGAAGGAGAGGGGGAGGAGGAGGTAAGAGGGCACAGAGAGGATGAGGATCATGTTCCAACGCAATCTGCCAGCAGCGAGGGGTGTCGAGCAGTGCCCTTTCTCCGGCTCCCGAGCGTGCGATCCCTGTCCTCCTTGTCCTCCTCGTCCACCTCCTCCTCCTCCTCCTCCTCCTCCTCGAACCACGGTCGGACCAAACACAGAAGAACATCCTTGAAGAAGGTGAGACCCTCCGCCGGCCAACACTGAAAAACACTCGCGGGGACCTATCCCCAAGATGCACAATACCACCCAATCAACACGGAGGACTATAGGGCACCTTCCCCGAATAGACCTCGATAGTATATCTCGGTCCGACGGTATCATTGTCCTCCTCCGTCTCATCTTCTTACGCTTTCGCACATGCTCCATGCACCGCATGAACCCCGAAGACAGTTTACTAACCTCATGCCCGTGAGAATAAACACTAGGGGATAATAAAGTTCGGGGTTCAGGGAGAGATAATAAAAGTAGCCCAGCAGACCTCAGCATAATCTCGAAGTAAGAGATGATCAAGAGGAGACCAAGCCGAGCACGTTTTGAGACATCCTTGGCGTTTAGTTTTCATAGAAATATCCTCAACAATGGCTTATCTCTCATGAAAATTGTTTTTTGTAAGTGCTCGTGTAGGGTAGCTCATGTGCCTCAATTTCCATGGATAATCAAACCCAGAGATAAAACAGTTCAGGCGAGCGTGGGGACAGAGAGAAATATAAAAGAAGAAGAATACAGTAGAAGAATAATAAGAAAGAAGAAGAAGAGGAGAATAAGAAGAGGACGAAGAAAGGAAAAATCCAAAGTTCCAAATCTATCAATTTTAATTTACAAACGCTTTATGAAAATTGATTTTTTTAAGTGCTCGTGTAGGGTAGCTCATGTGCTTCATTTTCCATGGATAATCAACCCCAGGGATAAAAAAGTTCAGGCGAGCGTGAGGACAGATAGAAATATAAAAGAAGAAGAGGAAAGTATAATAATAATAAGAACATTGCTCGTTTCGTTTGAGTCTGCCTCCCAAAATTATTGGTTTCGCTTGACACATCCTGAAAAAGTGTGATCGCTTCGCTTGATGTTGCTATATCAACATCGCTTGATGTTGCTATCTCAACATAGCGTTTCGAGGTGATAATGAAGTTCGGCCTCAGCGCTCGCCGCCCAATTTGAATTTTGTATAGAGCGACGATAATCAACTCTAAACACTGAAGGGGGGGGGTCCCTTTATTATCATCGGCATGCGGTTACTATCAGAACAACAACAAAAACGCAGGCGGCTCCAGTGAGCTCCAGGAAACCTCAGGAAGGCCCAAACGGCCCTAGGAAGCTACAAGCGGCACGAGGCCTCAGGAAGCCGAGGGACATCAGGAAGCCACAGAAGGCTCCAGGAAGCTCCGAGGAAACTGTACGAAACCGCCAGAACCCTGAGGAAGCTAAAAACAAACCAAAAGACCGAAGAGGCCAAGAGGCTCCACGAAGCCCCGGGGGATTCCTTAGGCGACACCAGGGAACGCCGGGATTCATCCAATAAGCACCAGGAAGCCCCAAGCTGCCCGAGGAAGCCACAGAAGCCTCAGGAAGCGCTACGAAGCCATCATACGTACCCAGGACACTGCAGCGGACTCCAGGTTCCATGGATCTCCGAGGAGGCCACCGAATAAGGAAGGGTAGCAGATCATTTGCAACAACCTGCTGTTCAAAAGATGATGGTCGAATCATGTGTATCCTGCTGCTCCTCCGCTCCCTCCTCTGCGACACCTTCGTGCGATCGTATGGCTGTCCTGCGCCGAGCCAAGAGATCTACGCGGGCCTCCAGCAGCTGATGCTTATGCAAGTTCGATTCGCCGACAAAAGGGCTGTTGGGGGGGGCCTGGATGCGCAACCGCCAGCGGTCCTCCTAGGTGATCGGGCAAACCCCCCTTCTGGGGCCGAGGCGGCATCTGTTCATCCTTCATCCTCCCTCCTCGTCCTCCCTCTCCTTGTCCTCCCTTCTCCTTCCTTCTCCACCCTTGTCCTCCACATCCTCCACCACTTCCTCCTCAACCTCCTCGTCGTCATACTCTTCCTCCTCCCTCTCCTCCTCCTACTCCTTTTCCTCCTCCTCCTCCTCCACCTCTTAGCCCTTTACCCCCCTCAACGGTGAGGTTGGGCGCGCGCACTTGGAAGGGGCGCAGCGCACCCGAGCCGCGGCGGCGGCCGCCATGCCCGGACCTTGTTCCTAATGAGCACGGTCGCCAGGAGATGTCTGCGAATCGTGATGTTCCGTCTCCGTGCGCGAGAAGCTTCGATACTTCCGCATCGGTCTCTGAGGTGCGGTCCGACCTGAACCTGGAGATCCAGGAGTGTCTCGGGGCGGGTGGTTTGCGGGCAGCGGGGGCCATCGGGCCCAGGCTGGGTGGCGCACTCCGCTCGGAGTCGGCTTCCAACGCATGCTGGGAGGGGGGTCGGCGTGATAATCTACTGGTGAATTGCTAGTCCGACTGCCTACCCGCCACTGACCACATGGAGGAAGAACAGCTCGAAGCAAAACTCTGCTGCCGAAACACCAGCTAAGAACGTGGAGTTCAAACTGCCCAACGCTCGCCCTGTCCGGAAAAACAATTCTCGCTCACCGCTTGGAAATACGGTGGGGGCATTGGATAAGGAACCTTTAGATAAGGAGTCCAGGGTGTGGGAGTCAGTGTAACTCCAAGCGTGGATCGCCCATGGATATCACCACCGCCCCCATTGGATAAGGAATCCCTCAGGGTCTGCAGCCTCTTGGGCGCATTCCTAAACGAACGCCCCCACCGTACGCCCCGACTGCCAAAGGTGGGGCTCCGTGGAGGGGGCCGGAGAGTGCACCGGCGGGCGAGTGCTGCAGCAACTGTGCGTGAGCCGCGAGCGGGGGAGGCAGCTCCCCCTCGCACGGCGCAAGGTCCACGCAGCTCCCGTGCGGGAGTTTGGCGGGCTTCTGTGGCCTGGCCTTGGTGGCCTGGCGCGGGGCCTGTTGACTACGTCGGGGGGTGGCTTTCTCTTGTCTAGTGCGAAGTTTGGTCGCCCCAGCTCTTCCTGCCAGCGTGCGAGGGGCCTTCGAACGGCCTGAATTATCACGACCCCCCCTCCTGCATCGTTTCGTCCCCCTCCTGCATCCGCTATGCCCTCTTCACCTCATCGCGCTGCTCCTCCTCCTCCTCCTCCTCCTCCTCCTCCTCCGCCTCCTCCTCCTCCTCATCCTCGTCCTCCTCTTGCTCGTCCTCCTCCTCGTGCCCCTCCTCCTCCGCTTCCTCCTCCCTGTCCTCCTCCTCCTCCTCCTCCTCCTCCTCCTCCTCCTGCTCATCCTCCTCCTCCTCCTCCACATCCTCCAGCTTCCCCTCCTCATCGTAATGAGCAGCAGCAGCAGCAGCATCATTATCATCATCAGCACCACCGCCACCACCATCATCATCGTCAGCAGCATCATTATGATCATCATCGTCATCATCAGCAAAATCATCATCATCATCAGCATCATCACTGGCATCGTCATCATTGATATCGCTAACAGCATCAGCGCCATCACTCTCATCGAGGTCGCCACCAGCATCAACATTCATCTTCATGAACCGCATCATTGGCATACCCATCATTACCATTCCCATCATAATCATCATGATCACCAGCACAACATCCATCGTGATTACCATTATCACATCCTTTGTCATCGTCATCAACATCGTCGTCATCATCACCAGCTGCATCATCAGCATCATCATCAGCATCATCATCTCATAAGCGTCATAATCGTGACCACCATAATGACCATCATCACCATCGTCATCACCATCATCAGTATCATCATTCGCAGCATCTGTACCACCTTCATCATCACAAGCGTCCTCACCATCAGTGCGACCATACGTATCATTTCCACCATCACGTATCGTCATCATGAACATCAATTACACCATTAGTCTCATTAGCATCAGCGCCACCATAAGCATCGTCATCACCATGATCATCACCTTCAGCATGGTCATCCAAATTATCTTCGTTTTCAGAATCGTCATCATCATCACCACCACCATAAGCGTCACCATGATCATGGACAGCATCACAATCACCATGATCACCATTATGATTATCACCATCACCATCATAACAACAATAAACATGATCAACATCATCTGCATCGTCAGCACCACCATCACCATCAACATCACCATCATTAGCATCATCATTATCATCATTATCATCATAATCATGATCCTTAAAATCATCACTATTACCAGCATCGCCATCATCATTAGCATCATCAACAACATCAGCATCATCTCCATTACCATCATCACCACCATGACCATCACCATCATCAAAAGCATCAGCATCATCGTCATCATCATCATTAGCATCACCATCATCAACAGCAGCAGCATTATCATTATCATCTCCATCATCATCCTTATTTTCACCATCACCATCATCATCAGCACCACTAATATCATCATAGATATCATCATTATACCCATCATCATAAACATCATGATCATCATCATCCTAATCATCGTCGACATCATCGTCAACTTTTTTGGGTGGATACTGTTGCAACAGTTCAAGTCAACGTCACAACTGGGCGTCCGGGCAACTCCAGGGTAACGCACGCGACAATGCAAGCTTCAAACGCGAGATCTCTAAAGACGGACTGCAAGCCCTGAGGCACAGCAATCCATCTTAATCTGAGCACCAAGGAGGGAAGACGAGGAAGAGGAGGGGGGACGAGGAAGAAGGGGTAAGAGAAAATTTGTGCAGAATGCCGCAATGCCTCCGCCATCGGCGTTTGTAATGCACCTAGCGTGTGCAAAACAGCCACAAATCAAACAAACAACACTGAAGGGGACTGTCCACATCATCGAGGATATAATGCGACTTCCAATCACAGAGTGAAGCAGTTCGTTAGAGCCTAGGGACCACGCCTTCGTCATCGTGGTAGTCATCATCATCAGCATCAGCATCAGCATCAGCATCATCATCATCATCATCATCATCATCATCATCATCATCGTCATAGTCATCGCCATCGCCGTCGTCGCCGTCGTAGTCGTCGGCGTCCTCGTCGTCGTCGGCCTCCTCGTCCTTGTCATCATCTTCATCGTATACGCCACCAGCATCATTACCGTCGTCATCATCACCAGCATCAGCATCATCACCATCCTGTCCTCATCCTGATGTCCCATTCCTCTGCTTGAAGGTCCTACCGATCTCTTGCGCGACCACCACCACCCCGCCGCGCGCGCCTGTGGGGCGATCACGTAGACAAGATCGTAGCTGTCGAAGCTGTAGCCGCTGATCGAGCCCTCGCGCACCGATGCGCTCACGCGGTGCAGTCGGGCACAGGGGCAGGACTGAGTTTCGCATGGCCCTCGATTGGCAAGCCTCGCGCGAGTGCCCAGCATGCCGTTCACTTCGACCTGTGCGTCGGCCTGCTGAGTGATTCGCGCATGCCTGTTTTAGGAATGTCCCTCCAACCGAACGATGGCCAATTAGGACAACGGCGGCTCTCCCGACCAGTTCACATACGCTGAGCAATAAGCCACTGGACCCTTCCCAGGGTCCATCCTGACCTGCTTTTGAAGGCGGATCTAGCCGTGGCGAGGTCTCCAGGAGGCCCCTCCTCTTCCTCTTGCCCATCCTTCTGCTCATCCACCGCCTCCTCCGATGCAAGCAGCGCCTCTTGTGTCCGAATGCGCATCGCACAATGAGGTACTTTCGGGGGCTTCAGGTCCGCTATGACACCCATCGGCGGATAGAGAAAACGTAGCGCAATTGTACAGGTTGGGTTGGAGGGGCCATCCTCCCCAGTGCTTGGGGCAATCTATGTTGTGCAGTCCATCTGTCTCAATCCTTATGGTGCAACATTTCTCGTGCAATCTAGGTGTTGCAGTCTAGGTGTTGCAATCTACGTTGTGCATTCGACGAGGTGGCGATGGGGCGGAGACGGCTGCTACACAGCGTGTGTGGTGCAATCTATTTTGTGAAATCTATGTCGTGCAATCTGCGAGGTGCAATCGCCGATGAGGCGACGGGGCGGCGACGGCGACGGCATGGCCGTCAGACCGCAGCGCAGGCCCAAACGACGGGCGGCAACGAGGCAGTGACTGGGCCGCGACGTCGGCTACGTAGCGGCCAGACCGCCGCGCAGGTCCAGACGACGGGCGGCGACGAAGCGGCGATGGGGCTGGCCACGGCGGCCACATAGCCGCCAAACCGCCGCGCAGGCCCAGTTCCTCAGTCCCAAAAAAACCCTAGGTGCAAGCGCTGTTTAGAGGAAAAGGTCATTTGGGCCACGCCTCGTGTGCCTCGTCCCTCCTCCCTCCCGGAAGCCAGGTGCGAGGACGTCTCTAGCGAGAGGGCTGGACCGCATCTCGGAGCCCAGGGTTACGAGGATGTCTCGGGCGAGACGCGCTGGTGGAAACCTCCCGCGCGGCATCTCGGGCACCAGAGTGCGGATTCAGCTGATCGTTGCTGTTGAAGTAGCAGATCTCAAGAATCTAATTATGGCTGGCCCCCCTCCCTGCGGTGCACAGTGTGGATTTTCCTTTCGTGTGCCCCTCTCGGGGCTCGCACCCAGTTTGTACAAGAGAAGATCTGGCGCCCCAGTCACAACCGTGCTCCTGCGCGGGGCGTCCTGACAATTGCTCCAAGAACCGAGCTCTCGCACTGCACTGATAGTTTCATCAGCTACGCGCGCGCGCGCGCTCCACCCGGGACCCGGCCGCGCGGGCCCGCCCGCCCGACCCGCCCGCCAGGGTCCACCCAACCTACCAGCCCGTCTGGTTCCGCGGCTTCTTATCCTGCTCTCAGCCCCCCCCCCCCGCTAATCTCTCTTGTGCTCCGTCCTTTTCCCTCCCCGGTGTCACTTCCCTCCTCCCTCCCTTCCCCTGTTTGAAGGGCTGCTCCAGCTACGCGTGGCAGGTAGGGAAGATGTACCCCCAAAGGGGGTATGATCGAAGACGTAGAGGGCGGGTACCGAGTGATAGGGGCAAAGATGCTAAAAGACACGCGAGCCGATAAGAGCGACCAACCTTAAAATGATTGTTGTTGCCCTAGCCCGCGACCCACCACGCGACCATCCCGCGACCCACGTCTCGACTTACTCAGCGACCCACCCGCGACCCACCCGCTACGCACCCACGTTACAATCGGCGCCTGCGGCGGGCTTCCTCAGAGCTTCACAGACTACCGACGACCCCGCCGCCACCCCACTTCATCCGCAACTGCGGTGAACTACAACTGCGGTGAACTACGTAATTATTCGTGTTCGAAAGATGCAAGAGCAGTCCGTTTCAAAGCAGATCCCTCGTCAAAATAGCATGCCCACCTGTGCTGCCCTTTCAGGGGGGGGGCGGGCTTCCTAAAGTGGAAATGACAAGCTGTAGGGACGTGTGGACGGGAGGGTGTGCTGCAGAGACGCTGGTGCATCTGTTGGCTTACTCTGGTCCTCCTTCGCCGCCGTCTCCTCCCCCTCCTCCTCGCACATCTCCTCCTCCTCCTCCTCCTCCTCCTGCTCCTGCTCCTCCTCATCCTCATCTTTCTCCTCCTCCTCCTCCTCCTCCTCCTCCTCCTCCTCCTCCTCCTCCTCGCACATCTCATCCTCCTCATCCTCCTCGCACATCTCCGCTCACAGCTCCTCCTCCTCCTCCTCCTCCTCCTCCTCCTCCTCCTCCTCCTCCTCCTCCTCCTCCTCGACAGCGCCGCTCTCTCCGGGGCGGGGCGGGCGAGTCGGGCCGCGCGCCGCCTCCATGGACTCCTTCGCCGCGTTGTAGAGCCCGGGGAAGGGGAGGTCCTGGGCATCAGCGGGGCACCCGGGGGGGGCCCAGGCCTTTTTTTTGTTCCCTCTCCTTTTTTCCACAGAAAGAAACAAACCAAAGCACACACAGAGGCCCCTTAGAGAGGCATCAACGAGGCACCGGGGGGGCCCAGTTTTTTGTTGTTCCTTTTCCTTTTTCCCCACATCCAAAGCGGGGTTCTTGTTTTCTCTGCACACCCCCCGCGCAGGAAGTGGGGTTCTTGTTCCCCACATCCAAAGTGGGGTTCTTGTTTTCTCTGCACACCCCCCGCGCAGGATCTCACACCCTCTCTCTCTCTCTCTTCCTCTTTCTCGCCATCATCATCATCAGTCATCATCATCATGACCCACGCCTCTCCTCCTCAGCACCATCACACTTACCCATACACCACTCGATCGCTCACTCACTCACTCACTCACTCACTCATCATGATCATCACATGAGGATATCATCCGTTGGCGTCACACATCACTCAGTCAGTCCGTCACTCACTCGAGTATCAAGCGGGAGCGTCGTCTGTGAGTGAATTGCGAGGAAGTCTCAGGCGGGAGCCTCTCCCTATGGGGCCCGCAGATCATCTTACTAATCCGAGGCGGGTCATCGGGATCCTGTAACTGTCGTCACTTTTGGGCTCCTGGGGCGTGAATTTGGAGGAAGTATCAGGCGGGAGCGTCGTCTGTGAGTGAATTGCGAGGAAGTCTCAGGCGGGAGCCTCTCCCTATGGGGCCCGCAGATCATCTTACTAATCCGAGGCGGGTCATCGGGATCCTGTAACTGTCGTCACTTTTGGGCTCCTGGGGCGTGAATCTGGAGGAAGTATCTAGCGGGAGCCTCGTCTGTGAGTGAATTGCGAGGAAGTCTCAGGCGGGAGCTTCTCCCTATGGGGCCCGCAGATCATCTTACTAATCCGAGGCGGGTCATCGGGATCCTGTAACTGTCGTGACTTTTGGGCTCCCGGGGCGTGAATTTGGAGGAAGTATCAGGCGGGAGCGTCGTCTGTGAGTGAATTGCGAGGAAGTCTCAGGCGGGAGCCTTTCCCTATGGGGCCCGCAGTTCATCTTACTAATCCGAGGCGGGTCATTGGGATCCCGTAACTGTCGTCACTTTTGGGCTCCTGGGGCGTGAATTTGGAGGAAGTATCAGGCGGGAGCGTTGTCTGTGAGTGAATTGCGAGGAAGTCTCAGGCGGGAGCCTCTCTCTATGGGGCCCGCAGATCATCTTACCAATCCGAGGCGGGTCATCGGAAACCTGTAACTGTCGTCGCTTTTGGGCTCCTGAGGCCTGAATATGGGAGAAGTATCAGGCGGGCGCTCCATCCCGGTGGGGCACGCACTTCATGTTCGAACCCGAGCGGGTCATCCGAGCGAGCTTTTTGGGCTCCTCAGTTCCTGCGGCCTGAACAAGGGGGAAGTATCAAGCGGGAACTTTGTCTGTGGGCGGTGCGGGTCGTCCCGTCTGAGGACCGTCTCTTGTCGTCACTTGGAGGATCGAAGGGGAACTCGCTCCTGCGGCTTGAATATTCTCTTTCGACTTGCTCACGTCCAATTGCTGGCCAACCTTGTCGTCGTCGGCGGGAGAGGGAACTTGAAAAGGTTCACTCTCCCGCGTTCGTTTGGGCTGGGGAGGGAGCTTGAAAAGGTTCACTCTCTAGCTGCGGGAGAGGGAACTTGAAAAGGTTCACTTTCCCGTTCGTGGCAGGATTGGGCTGGAGAGGGAACTTGAAAAGGTTCGACGTCTCTAGCTGCGGGAGAGGGAACTTGCAAAGGTTCCCTGTCCCCCCTTGTCGTCGGAGTGAAGGGGGAACTTGAAAAGGTTCACCCTTCATTCGCGGGAACGGGAACTTGAAAAGGTTCACTTTCCCTTGGAGAGGGAACTTGCAAAGGTTCACTCTCCAGCAGCGGGAAAGGGAACTTGCAAAGGTTCACTTCCCCGCGCGTTCCAACTGGAGAGGGAACTTGAAAAGGTTCCCTCTCCAGCAGCGGGAAAGGGAACTTGCAAAGGTTCACTTTCCCGCGCGTTCCAACTGGAGAGGGAACTTGAAAAGGTCCCCTCTCCAGTTTTTTTCTGACCCCCCCTTTTCCTAACACCGATGTTTCAATGGACTAAGGGGTCACTAACGCAATTTTTTTCTCGGGCGTCGGGGGAGGAATCGCGTTGGCCGGAAACGGAGCTGAGCCTGGCGCGGGCGCTCGATGGAAAACCCTCACGAAACGCTTTGAAATCAATGATTGCGGATGACGAGCAACACATTTTGCAATTTCCCCATCGGGGGATGGAACGCAATGTACGTTTTTCTTTGGCAGGGTATTCTCTCAGATCCCCTGCGTCTTCGAGCTGAAGGGCACGAAGCGCTTCGAGCCGGGGGACCCTCTGATCGCGTTCTTGGGCTGCATGCGCGAGGGCAAGCGCTTCCCACCAGAGGTCTGGTCTGCCTGGGAGAAGACGTTGGCCTCTGACAACCACGGCGTCCTGGACCCTCGGCACCAGCACGAGAACTTTCGGCTCGGCTACGGCATGGGCATCTACTGGGAGACGCTGGCGAGGTGGATCAACACGCGCGCTCGTCGCGACGCGCGGCGCCTCGGCGTCCCCCTCGTTTTCCTGCAGGCCGTAGACGAGTGCGGCACGATTCAAGGCGAACCAGACGCAGGCCGGCGCCTCCTGAACGTCCCGAACATGCACAAGACGGGGGACATCCACGGCGTCTTACCGGCACACGTCGGCATGGAGGTCCGGTTCACGGCCGTGCAGGAGGAGCTGAAGAAGAAGTTGGGGCTCGTGCAGGAGCAACGGGCCACCATCGTGTCCTTCGAGGTTCACGCAGACGACGAGCGGGACTACGAGGAGTGCGCGCCGGGCCAGCTCTTCCGCCCCCGCTTCCTACCGCAGCGAATCTGGCTGCATGTGCACGGCTTCCAGGAGTCCCCGATCTACAAGGAGGTCGCCGAGGTGCTGCTGCAGGGCACCGAGGGCGCTGACGACGACGGCGAGGCCCAGGCGCGGGCGAGGAGCTTGCTCATGTTCAGGCCCAGCGAGCAGGAGTTCACGTGGCAGAGCTCGGGGGCGCACACTGTGCGCCCCTCGGGATTCACGCTGACGCACGCGTCCTACCTGACATCCACGCTGTCGCAGGGCCAGACGCTGCGCAAGGGCGTCACCATCGACTGCGCCAGGGATGAGGACGCTGGCCGCACGGGCATGTCGGACGATATGTGGTGGCTGCACCTCTACGTCATGTTCTCCCGCGCCACGCGCATGCGGAACATGCTGATCCTGCGGCCGCCCGCGCGAGAGTTCCTGGAGCGCGGGCCGCCGGCGTCACTGCGGAAGGCGCTCCAGGAGTTCGACGAGAGAGCGGTGGACTCCAGGGCTGAAGCGGAGCAGCTCGCGGCAGAGCTGGGCTTCGTGCTGCCGCCCGCCTGAGCGCCGCGGCGCGCGCGAGGAGGCCCGCGGGGTTGTCCCAACGGCCTGGCCCGCGGGGTTGTCCCGACGGCCTGCCCTCGCGCTCCGGCGGCCCGCGGGAGTGCCCCGCAGGCATGGCTGGCCCGAAGGGTTGACCCGACGGCTTCGCGATCTGGCCGTCGGCAAACGCGCGCGTTCTGACCGAGGCGGCGACGGCGCCGAGGAAAATCGACTTGCTTCCCCCGACCGGGGGGAAAGGGACGTGCACGTGGAAAAGAGGCAGGAGGAGGATGAGGACGGAAGGGGTATGGGGAGGGCAATGATGAGGAGGAGGTGGAGAAGGAGGAGGAGGAGGAGGAGGAGAAGGAGGGGGGGAAATAGAAAAAGAGGAAAAGATGGCAGAGGAGAGGGCGATACGAGGGTGTTTGCCATGGCCGGGAGGAAAGGGATAAGGGAAAGCTAAACAGATTATCATGTGGGGTCCTTCCGTCGGAGTAATTTTCTCTGCGCACCCCCCGCGCAGGATCTCACACCCTCTCTCTCTCTCTCTTCCTCTTTCTCGCCATCATCATCATCAAACATCATCATCATGACCCACGCCTTTCCTCCTCAGCACCATCACACTTACCCATACACCACTCGATCGCTCACTCACTCACTCACTCACTCGCTCACTCACTCACTCATCATGATCATCACATGAGGATATCATCCGTTGGCGTCACACATCACTCAGTCAGTCCGTCACTCACTCGAGTATCAAGCGGGAACGTCGTCTGTGAGTGAATTGCGAGGAAGTCTCAGGCGGGAGCCTCTCCCTATGGGGCCCGCAGATCATCTTACTAATCCGAGGCGGGTCATCGGGATCCTGTAACTGTCGTCACTTTTGGGCTCCTGGGGCGTGAATTTGGAGGAAGTATCAGGCGGGAGCGTCGTCTGTGAGTGAATTGCGAGGAAGTCTCAGGCGGGAGCCTCTCCCTATGGGGCCCGCAGATCATCTTACTAATCCGAGGCGGGTCATCGGGATCCTGTAACTGTCGTCACTTTTGGGCTCCTGGGGCGTGAATCTGGAGGAAGTATCTAGCGGGAGCCTCGTCTGTGAGTGAATTGCGAGGAAGTCTCAGGCGGGAGCTTCTCCCTATGGGGCCCGCAGATCATCTTACTAATCCGAGGCGGGTCATCGGGATCCTGTAACTGTCGTGACTTTTGGGCTCCCGGGGCGTGAATTTGGAGGAAGTATCAGGCGGGAGCGTCGTCTGTGAGTGAATTGCGAGGAAGTCTCAGGCGGGAGCCTCTCCCTATGGGGCCCGCAGATCATCTTACTAATCCGAGGCGGGTCATTGGGATCCTGTAACTGTCGTCACTTTTGGGCTCCTGGGGCGTGAATTTGGAGGAAGTATCAGGCGGGAGCGTTGTCTGTGAGTGAATTGCGAGGAAGTCTCAGGCGGGAGCCTCTCTTATGGGGCCCGCAGATCATCTTACCAATCCGAGGCGGGTCATCGGAAACCTGTAACTGTCGTCGCTTTTGGGCTCCTGAGGCCTGAATATGGGAGAAGTATCAGGCGGGCGCTCCATCCCTGTGGGGCACGCACTT